TTGTTTTTCAGATAAACAAGTTTGTTAACTTAGCATGTTTCTTAAATATCCCAAGATGGCATAGATGATGATTGCAATGGAGTAAAAACAGTGGCTAGATTCGTCGGTGCATGTCCTACTCGTATTTCTGTCATTGCTCTGCATATTGAGACAAACCACCACACGATCAAACACACCAAACGCCTGGCACGCAACAGGATTGGTATAGATGGGGACAGTTTTGGGGAACTACTTTGAAACTGCAGTTTTTTAAGTTATAAGCTATTTATAATGTAAAGCAGAGTGACGCTAACCTTGAAAAAGTGAGAATATTTTATAAAACAACTGCTTTGTGAATCTATCAGAAGTCACATAAGCATGTGCCAACAATACTAGCAATAAAAATATACACTAAATACTAAATACAACTAGAAATAGAGTGATAAACATCAAAATTGAGCTAAATATATCTTTAAGCCACACAGGAACTTTTGGGTAGATGAATCTGTGAATGGTTTTTGAACAAACCGATTCTTTAAAATGAATTGTAATTTCCACCGCTTCAAATGAATCAATAAATCAGTTATGAACCTGACTAACATGGCTGTAAAATGTGTCAAAATTATGCAGACGAAAATAATTTCAATAGGAATCCGCACAATCTAGAATTTCGAATTAGGGATATGTGAGGCGAAACATTTCTACCACATGGATTTTGTGATTCAATTTTGTTGTATTTCAATATGCAAAAACACAGTGTTTTCCAATATAAAGAAGCTTAGTTTGGAAGTGATCTCTGAGTACACGGTGATTCATGCATTGTAATTCTATTGACAATGGATCTACTTTGCCTGATAAGTTTCACTTAAAAGATCTGGACACTTTTACCATTGTTTGGTGAATTTTCTCAGATTAAATCCAGTCATTTCAACAGGAATCCACATGCAAAAAATGTTTCCATCACAGATTTCACAACAAGTTAAAGTTGGTCACATGGATTCACTATATTAACTAAAAGAAAGCTGCTTGGTTTGAAAGTGACCTCTGTGTGAGTGGTACTTCATACACTGACAATAGACAATGGACTTTTTTGGCCGCAAAATTCCACAGATGTGACCAAGTTTTGCACCTTTTGTTCACCCAAAAATTAAAATTCAATTCCAAACCTGTATGAGTTTGTTTCTTCTGTTGAACACAAAATATATTTTGAAGAACCAAACAGGCGCTGGTAGCCATTGACTTCCAGTATTTTTTCACCCATGGAAGTCAATGGCTACCAGCAACTGTTCGTTAACCAACATTATTCAAAATAGCTTATTTTGTGTTAAACAGAAGAAACAAACTCATACAGGTTTGAAACAACTTGAGGGTGAGTAAATGATGACAGAATTTTCATTTCTGTGTATACCATCCCTTTAACAGTGCTGCTCGTTTTACTCCCCAGAGTTGAATGGGAAGATGCAAAAGTACCATGTTTGACTAGTAGAACAGTTTCAACAAGAATTAAAAATATTCAATATTTAAAATCTACTTAAAATAAAAGAAACATTTTTGCGACCCTGACCATAAAACTCATCTATAGGTTATAAATTGCATACATTGGCGATGTTTTCTTTCGGCCATGCATGTCAACATTTCAGATATACATCAAAGGATATGAATCAGCTTTCATATCATTTGTTGATATCCACATCATACCGTACTGTATGTGTAAGCACATTACGTAAATCACAATTAATGTGATGACTCATACTAAAAGAAACCAATTTTATTGGTATACGACAACAGAAGTTGAACGACACACATTTTAGTGCTGTTTTTCCATATTATTATTCCAGGAAGTGTCAAATGCCCACTCTTTGTCCAGCCATAGACAAATAACTTTTGTAGCTCTACACACATTTTAGTAGTTTAAAAGATCAGAAAAGGCTTGAAACAATGGCCTGTTCCAGTGTAGCGGTGTGTGTGTGTTTGTATGCATCTGATAGCTTCTGAAGCCTTGTTAATGATTTACAGTTATATACTGTTATACACAATAACCTTACCAGGACGCCAAATGACACTTTGCACTACAAAACTTGAAAAGACTGTAGACGCATTATTTCCAGAGAAACATTTATGTAAAGCAAGAAAATAAGTCAGATGACAAAGATGTCATGATAATTTGAATACATTTACATTCCCACTAAATACATTTACATTACATTTAAAATAGACAATGTGTATCAAACAGTATTTAGCCTGCTACTGCAAAATGATGCAAACATACGAAACAAAGTAAAGATACAGCTGGTCAAACGTCATTTTTTTATTTATTTCTTTTTTTTTATTGGGGAAATATATAGAGTACAGATAAGCTTAACAGAATTCAAATCAGAAGTTCCTCTGAATTTTCCTTATGCAAACAAAAATCTAACCAAGTTATAATTCTTTCTGCAGTTATTAACTATATATACATATTTATACATACAAAATTAAGTCAACATCCCTCTCTTCCAAGTCTCCTCTGCCTTCTTCTCCTAAATACCTTATAAAGGGTTCCCAAGTTTTAGAAAACTGTAGTCTCTTATTCCTTAGACCAGGGGTGCCCAAACTTGGTCCTGGAGGGCCGGTGTCCTGCAGAGTTTAGCTCCAACTTGCCTCAACAGACATATGCACATATTTTCTAACATACTATACAGAAAGTCCTAAAACAAAACAAGACAATTCTCCACCCACCCACCCTCACTCTGTCTGCCTGATATGCACCACATAGGGAGGAATATTATAAAAAAAACAAAAAAAAAACAAACAAAAAAACACCAGGGGTGGAATGGATCTTAGATCCAACTCAAATTAAGTCAACATCCCTCTCTTTTGCAAGTCTCCTCTGCCTTCTTCCCCTAAATACCTTATAAAGGGTTCCCAAGTTTTAGAAAACTGTAGTCTCTTATTCCTTAGACAGAGCCGTATACGCTCCAAATGTAGTGTATTTGTGAGTTCGTCAAGCCACAGCTGGAAAGGAGGTGGCAGTTTATTTTTCCAGAATGTTAAAATAAGCTTTTTGGCCGTTAAAAGTCCAGAGGAAAGAAATCGTTGTTGAGACTTGGACAGACAAAGCTCATGTCTTGAAACACCAAACACGATTAAAAACTAATCGGGTTCAATATCTTGTCTAGTAATTTCAGAGATGACATCGAAAATCTTGCACCAAAAGCTTTGAAGACTGTGACATAATGCATAACTGTGAAGCAGGGTCGCATCAGCCGTCCTGCATTTGTCACATTTTGGAGAGACACCTGGAAATATTCTAGATTGGTCAAACGTCATTGACTAAGATCCGCCCTAGCCGTCTCTTTTTTTCCTCCTCCAAAGCTGTAAATGCTTTAGCTTAGCCAGTCACAAAAGGCCATATTTACCTGAACTTCACGCCAATCTATCACCTGTATTGACCAGTGTCCCGACCCAGCTGACAGTGTTTACTCAAGCCTATAGTCTGTCTGTTTTCTTTCTCCTTCAGTGAAGCTCTCCAGCACAGGTGCCCAGCGGTGATGTGCTCCCTGAGGAGGTCACATACTTGGGCCACCCAGCAAGAAACACATCACCTGGAAAAAAGAGCTCTGATGAGCCACAGCTGGAGGATCTTCTTCTGAAGAGGCAATTTACTGTGTAATATGCCACTTCTAGCATCGTAAACATTTCCAGGTCTGGTGTTTGGAAATCATTACTCAAGTATTGTTAGAGATCCATTTCAGATCCTAATGAAATTTCTTAAAGTTGGCATGAAATAAAAATTCACCAGACTTATGTAGACTTAGGACATATGCAGGTCTTCTCTAAGATGAATGTTTGCTGGACAGAAGTGACTTCATTATTTGATTTTCAAAACATCATTTTTTAGAAAAATTTAGAACATATAAAAACATTATATGTTTGCCCTCCAATGAAAACTACAGAGCTTGGATCAAAACGAAGCATTTAAATAATCTTTCTGAGACATATTATTGGAACAATTGATATTTATATGTATTTGTAAGTAGTCTGCACTACAGTTATAAATATCTCATTGTTTTTCATTTCCATTTCATCTTAATTTTAGGCCAAATGACAACATGAGTGTGAACTCCATATTATCACTATATCATATATGGGCCATAAAAGCATGATGTAGGCCTATATAATACATTATACAATAGCCTACATAAATCACACATGCAATTTTTTATTTTTTTGATATAATTATTTTGACTAAAGTTTAAATATATAAAAAATATATTATCATTTTTTCTTTCTTTCTGACAATTATTTCATATGTCAGGCTTTACAGTATTAAAGTGCTACCATTTATCGTAAGTATCCCAAATAAACGCAAACAAACAAAAATAAACAATTAAACACTTTTTGGTCTTGGTGGACATGTTTTTTTCACTCCTGTGGTATGATTTCCGTAGTTTAAAAAGAATGACTATTTTTATGGCTGATTTTCATATTTAAAGTCTGAGGAAAGTGTAAAACATAGGCTAATACGCAAGTCAATTTTAATGTGACCACAAAAACACGCCTACCCAAAGTCGAAGAACTAGCCTATGGCTATGTGTTCTGGATAAATCAAAATAATCTAACATAAATATCCACACATGATCTACCTGTCTTGTAAATTTAATCAGATTAAAAAACATGAAACTTTGTGGGTGATTTGAAGTTTCTGATTTTTCTCTTCCCCCATTTTATAGACCTATCATAGTATATAAAATAAAACAATATAATATCAATTTACACACAAAAATATTTTCTGCTTTGTTAATGAATATGATATATATTAATCACCTACATTATATAAAGAGTTTAGTGCTAGAAATGTATCCGAGGAGTTGTGTGTTAATCAGACTGTTATTTGAGAGGGCGCTACACCTTTAAACTTTGGGAGGCCGCTGGACCTATGGAGCCAGATCGGCCTCAAAAATAACACATTTGCAAAACAAAATTCATAAATTCACAGCACAATTTACATTTACAAAATCCGAGAGAGAGCGCGGGGGGAGAAAAACAGAAAGTAAGGTTGAAGTCAGCGTGAAGCGCTCTGTACTGAGAGAGAGCGCGGGGGGAGAAAAACAGAAAGTAAGGTTGAAGTCAGCGTGAAGCGCTCTGTACTGAATGAACGCGAGTCGGCTGAAGCTCCCGAATCAAAGCTCCCTCAATGAGAGGCGCGAGACGAGTGCAAACACCAGATTGATCCGTGCGTGACGCGGCTCTCCTAAATGTTTATTTACCAAACGTGAAAAGTCTCTAGACCTGTTTTAAAAGACTTTATGAATTCTTTTGTATATCCAGCTTCCAAAAAATATGGATGAAGTTGTGAAAGTGGAGCCGCTGTGATGTTTTGGGGAGATCTATGTGAAGAGTCTTGAGGAATGAGTCGAACCGCATCAGCGACTGTTATTCCGGTGGATTGTCCTTCTGAGCTCGCACTTTGAGTTTTCGGATTGTCTGGAATGTTTGCGAGGTGGATTTCACCGGGTTCAGTTCGGTTAACTGTTTTGCTTTGGCTGCTGACGGTGTCATTAACTCTCGGGTCTGCTTCTGAGCTGAAGGTAAGGGTTCGTTTGGCCGATGGACAGATCACAGATGAACTTCTGGAAGCGGACAGTGAGAAAGACTCCATCACTGTGGAGTTTAAACAGGGAGATGGGACTCTTATAACTTTTGTGGCCGATTTCAAGCAGGTAAGTTGAAAATTGTGTGGCCAGGATGAATATTTGTGGTTGTTTAATCTGATTGTCACATGATGTCACAGAAGTGTGTTGCAATATATTTCTTGACTTAAAAAATATATATATATTTGTTGATTAGTCTGGATGTCAATTCATGCATTTTATTTTTTACAGTTTTACACTTAAACAGTTCTAAGTGTTATTGCATTTCATATAAAGAAACATCTAAAGGACAGATGCTCTATTACTTTAAGAATATTTATTCTGCATATAACTTAATTATCTTAAACCACTCTTAAATTAAAAGTTATGGATGTATTTTGGAATTTCACAAAACCTTTGAACTTTTTACATAGTTACATTTATATTTATTTAGTTGACTTGCACTGTATTATAATTCATTGCTCTGTTAGTTTCAGACAAACTTGGCAAACAAAATATGCAATATAAATGTAGCATATTCTGCATTTTAAGATGATATAAAATGATCTAAAAATTGTCTTAAAAGGAAATTAAGAATCGGAAGTTGTAAATGTGAGTTTCATAAAACATTTGCTTGTTTTTTATTACATTTAATTATTTACTTGGCTGATACTGTAGCAAAGTACAATGCATTCGATGTATCTTCTCAAAACCCATGTGATTTGGATGTTTTTACCTACATTTAATTTGACCTACGTTTTAGCTCTACTAAATAAATTAATTTTTTCATTTACCAGATCATCTACAGTGATAAAGCCTCAAATATTGGTGATTAAACTTGTCATTTGAGAAGTGGTTACTTTTCCTTCCTTATACCATTATAATCAGTGTATTTGTTCTAAATCATCCCCATTAGCGCTGAACTTCTGGCCTGAGGTCAGATTCTTTCACTGGTGATCATACCATCAGGATTAGCTGTGGCACTGTCACTGCCTTCATCCGTCTCAGTTCAGTCACGTCAGCAGCCCTCTGCCCTCTCGCGTCCCCTGATCCTGCACAGTCGTGGTCAGTGTGGGGGTTTGGATCACATTTGGGAAGGCTTGAACTTTTCCTTTCCTCTTTTTATCAGTTCCACTGGCAAGCTTGTCTCCATTTTTCTCACGTGTTTCTCATCTTGAGTTTTCCCTGTATCTCAGGGATTTATGGAAAGTTGAATTAACGATGACTTCCAGCTGGATTTACTGCATGCTGCACTGCAAAGGCTCTAACGGGGATGGAGGAAGACAAATATTCATTCATTAGAAATATTACTGAACAAAGTATGGATTTGTTGGCATCTGCTTAATCAGGTGCTAAGTGAACCCTCTGGATTTGATCTCCAAAGCTGTAGTATATTTCTTTTATTATCGTTTCTTCTCATTTCTTTTACATAAGCATTTGATGATAGATCTGGTGCAGCACAGCTCTTAATTTATCTTTTGTTTATCAAAGTGAAAGCTGCCTGTGATTTCCTCACATCAGAAAATACTACTTTTCTGTTACTATGGAATGAAATGCCAAACATGGCATATTTTAGACCAGATTCAGCCAAGGATTTTTATATATTGTTATTCTAACTTTTAACATGGCATCATTAAAGGGGTACATTCAAGAATGGAGAAAGGTTTTCCTCCTTTTTAATACAGGAGAGTATTGTTTTTAATACAACAATACAGTTATCTCCTCACAAATTATATAGCAGCATGATGTTTTGTCACCGTTCAGTTCCAGTTTCAATGGAAATCAGATGAGATTGGAACATCACGCATATCTAGAAGGAAAAATGTCAGTGGTTGTGGCAAAATTTGTTTGGTTTTTTTGCATACATTTTCATACATTTACATTTTCAAAGCATGCATTTTCATACTATAAAAAAACAGGTATATCTTTGTAACAAACTAGCCTTTTTCCAGTCTGTGTGGAAAAAGTGTGGGCTGTATGAGATTCTTTGACCGTTTGGTCTGCTTCGGCACTGTTTCGGGGCTGCAGGAATTCCAGTAACCGATCACAATCCAGCGGTGGAAGAGATACTATGTGTGATTATGAATCTTTCATCTCTGACTCAAGCTGTTCTCTTTAACTGTTCCGTTGTTTTTCTAGTGGTATTGTGTTACTCAGCGCTCTGCCTCTGCCCATCAGCATCATAGGCAGCGGTGAAGATGAATTCATCTCAGCTCGCATCCGCTGCCAACTGAGGAGCAGAGCGGTCTGCTTTTATGCTTATCTCCCTATTGGGATATCTGTGACCTGCTTGGACACAGTCCAACCCTCCTCTTTGCTTTGAAATGTTATCAGCACGTAACTTTTGGGCTAGCTGGAAACTTCATTATATTAGATTCAGCTTTAGGGCAATCATTTACTGTTGCTTGTGGCAAGACATGTTGCGTTGGCTCTGGTATGAGAAACCCATCATAAGTTCAGTGGCATTTTCATATTTCAGTTTGTCGTTTTGTCACTTGTGGGAACTTGTCTGTCTTTTATGTCCTAGTTTTTCAAACTGCATGCAGTGTGTTTGGATGCTATCCAGGTGTGTGAACCTGCCCAGCCTAACCTGTTTCAAAATGTCCCACAGAGTCATGTGAGATGGATGTGACCTTAACCACACACCACACAGCCTTTCTCATGAAGCATTATGACACAAATGGATGTTTAAAAGATTTATGTCAAGATGAATGACAGACCACACCCGTTGTGTAGACTTTGCTGTTTTACATTACAGTAAAGGAACTAAGAAATTGCATGACTGGTCAAGTATAAATATTGCATTGCCAAGTGCTGGATTTAAAGGTGATTTGTGTCCGAATGCAGAAATGGCACAATTTGCCTTTAAGATCACTTGTAAATTTGGTTTTCACCACGCAAAATAGGCTGCTTGGAATACACAAAACAGTGTGCGTTTTCTCTAACTATTACTATAGTTTCAGATAAATACAGGTTCAATTCAGATTTTCATCTGCAAGTGTGTCGGCAACAGGCAGGTCATCTCTGGCAGCCCCTTGGCTACAAGCTGATGTCTTTATTCAAGGCATAATAAGGCAGATGTTGACCCTTTGAATGCTGGTGAGTGGGAAGAGGCCTCCTTTACCCACTGAGAGTGCGGCACACACTATTATGGAAAGTGCTTTGAACGGTTCAAGTCAGTTGATCCAGAGCACGTTTGAGCAGTGAGCACCTGAAATATGCTGATTTTTAATCATACTTTTCTTAAACTTCCAAGCACAGCAGTCCTAATTCATGTGTGTTGCAGTTTGGTAAAACTCTTGATTGCAGAGCACAAATTGCTTCAAAAAATCCCTGTGTGAACTCAAATGGACTGTCTTCACGTTTCATAAATATTCACAAGCAAATGGCAGTTTGATTGCTAAAGATTGCTTTCATTGTACCTTAGCAGCATACAGTTGATATGGTAGTTTCTTCCTCAGTCACTGGATTTGCATATATTGCATATACACAGATTTACACTTTTTTTTTTCCAGTGTCATCAATTTGTAGTAATTGTGCATTGTGATTTTTTTTTTTTCTCTCTCATATTTTCGTTTTGGTGGCTTAAAGGGATAGTTCACCCAAAAATGAATATTCTAGGGCTGTGCAATTAATCGCATGCGATTGTCATGCGCATCTCGTCAGTAAAGCCGGTCCCGTGATTAGTTTTCATAATCGCAGATGAATCGCATTCGATTATGAACGCGATATCGCCTAGCTTGTCAGTGAACTACGGCTCTGTGTATTAAATGCCGCTCAATCTGAAAGCAGGTGATGGCAATTTACTACCAAATCACGGAACCAGCTTTACTGACGAGATGCGCATGACAATCGCATGCGATTAATTGCACAGCCCTAGAATATTCTGTCATTAATTACTCACGCTCATGTCGTTCCAAACCCGTAAGACCTCCGTTCATCTTCGGAACACAAATTAAGATATTTTTGATGCATTCTGACAGCTCTCTGACCCTCCCATAGACAGCAAGGGTACTACCACGATCAACTTCCAGAAACGTAGCAAGGAGATCAGTAAAATAGTCCATGTGACATCAGGGGTTCAACCGTAATATTACAAAGCTACGAGAATACTTTTTGTGCGAAAAAAAAAGCAAAAAAAAAGCATGCAAGTAGCTAGGTCTCCTCCGCGTCACCCTAGCGCCATTTTGGAGAGTATCCACTGA